AGTCCCCAGGGGGCATTGAAGCTTAATCTCTAGGAAAAATCCATGTCCGCCTTGTATTGCTCGCACACGAACCATTCATATGAGCCATGTCCCGGGTCCCTTTCTTGTGCAACAGCTGCTCATCCTTTTATAACTGCAGATACGAATCTCCATGTGCTTGCCCTAAGCCTAAGCCTCAGCCACAGCCTCTTTGCCAGAGCCTAGCTACCTTAGCTCCAAGAGATACAGCCACCGGTATCCCGCCGAGCACCCGGCGGCCTCGACCCATAGTGCTTCGGTTGCGGGTCCCGCGCGCTCCGCATTCGTTTCTAAGAAGAGCTCAAAGAACGCCTCCGGACGGCATCGTTCCTCCCGAACCTACTCCCTGAGTTCCGACCCCCAACGCCCGCTCTTTCAACCTGCTCGGAGCCCGACGTCACCCGCCCCCGAACCAGTCTGGGTCCCCACATTTCGGTCGTCGAGTCACTATTCCGGGCTCGGATCCTCTGCCCATCTGTCATCCGCCCCGCCGGCTTCTAGAAGACTGTGACCCCTTGCATCTTAGCCTTTTCCACACCTGACAGAACCACACCCACATCCCGCCGGCCATCATGGAGGCCGAATCGTCTGGTGCAGGCGCTGGAGCAACTGGCCCCGGTTCAAACCCTTCTTCTCTCCCGATCAAACGAGCGGCAAGTTTTTGAAAAATCATGGTCCCTTGATTTGAGTTCATCCAACTAATCCAATATGTAGTGTGACGCTTGCCGTGCTCGTAAGGTACGCAGATGGCCCCCTAGCAACCTCAACCCTTGTTCCCTTTACACTAGTGTAGCCATGATATGTGTCATGTCACTCGCAGCCATTCATTGGACGCTGTGAGCTGACTTTGTGAATCCCCAGATTCGTTGCGATAGAGAGACCCCCTGCGCCCACTGCCAACACGCCGGCATCGAGTGTAAGAACACCTCGGGCCTGAAGCCAAAGGAGAAGAGAACTCGCATTCTCATCACCCCTCAATAGTATGTGTCCCATCTCATCGCATCGTGAAAAAAAAAAACTTGTTTCTAACAAACTCACCCCACCTTCAAGCGAAAAGAAGATTGATCTTATTGACCGCCGCCTGGACGGCGTCGTACGTCTTCTCGAAGACCTCAAGTTGCAACTCCCCACAGTCGCGACAGCTGCGGCCTCGGCTTCGTCCGCTCCCGCCGCAGCTGCCAAGTCTGGCGCGCTGCCCTCGCAACCCGCTACCACCTCGACATCGACCCCTGCCAGCCATGTCAACACCGTGCAGCCGACCGGGCCCATGCTCGAGGGCGAATCATCAATGACGGCCCAGTCCATATTTGCTCACGAGTTCCTTCGCAAGACTGTCGGTGACAGCGCATCAGTTCTCGAGATGCGGGAAACCCTCGACGCCCTCCACTCGCTCGTCGAGGGGCTGAAGCAGCAGTCTGCCTCTCACGAACTGACGTATGCCCATGCCAGACCTGTTCCACGGCCGGCCTTGAGTGAATGGGAAATGCCTCCGGTACAATCTGCAGTCAGCGTCATCCGCGATGCAAAAGGTACGACTTTATTACCCGGCCGTTTTCTACTGCACCGCTAACTTTCCGCCTTGTACAACAGCGCAACGAGTGCTTGGCGTTCAATGGGTCAACAACTTTTTGCATCCGGATCACTTTGTAGATCTTACACTCAAAGTCTTCTTTGCCCCAACTGAATTTAATGAAGCCGAGTTCATCATCGTCAATGCCGGACTGGAGAGTCTCTACCTGGATATGATCATGACGGGGAAGATCACGGAACAACAAAAGGAAGAGTACACCAAGATGAGCGGCATCTGCCGTGATAACCTGGAGACCGCCCTCGCCAATCTCCCCCTACACCTACCAGCAACCATGGACATGATCGTGGCTTTGCTCTTCGGGGTGAGTTAAACGAACTCTGCTGCATTGTTTGATGGCTTACAATTTACAGGCGTACCACGCCGTCGAGGTAGCAAAACCGTCCCTTGCATGGACGCTCAACTGTGCAGCGGCTCAGCTGTGTCAAAGTCTCGGATACCACAGAATAGCTTCTGTAAGGAGCAGCAACAAGGACGACGAAGACTACAAGATCTTTCTGTTCTGGTCCGTGTACTTTGTAGACAAGAGTCTGTCACTCCGTCTTGGCAGGCCGTCGAGCATCCAGGACTACGACGTCACCGTCCCATACCCGTCGAGTTCAAGCAAGATCCACGGGGCGCTCATGAGCTACTTCTGCTTGTGGGTAATCGTCTCGAGCATCCAGGGGAAGACGTACGAGCAGCTATACAGTCCTGAGGCACTCTCACAACCAGCTTCCGTCCGTGAAGGTCGCGCTCGGGGTTTGGCTGCGGAGTTGCAGCGCGTGACGGAGCGCACGCAAGAGACTCACGTAAGTGCACAACACGGGTCTGCATGTCTCAGTACTGACCAGTTTGACCAGGCGCAATATCTTCAAGCAGCGATTGAGGCCGTCGGTGAAAACACCATGGACTTTTTCAATGTCTCTGATGAGGTTCTGAGGTTGTCGTTGTTGACCATCATCTACCGAGCCGTGCCGTCGCCTCCCGGTTCTCCGACGACGTTCAGCACCGAGTGCATCGATGCAGCGAGGGCGACGTTGCAAAGACACCAGGACTGTATGAAGATCATGGCAAAAGACGGCTATTATCTTTTTCCCATGTACATGAATTGGTGAGTGTCATTGGTTGCATGCTTATGACGACGCAAACAATACGGTTGCTAACAACTCACGCAGGACAATTCTCTTCGCTCCGTTTGTTCCGTTCATTGTGATTTTCTGCCAAGTCATGGAGACCAACGACGCGGCGGACCTCGCCCACCTGCAAGCGTTCGTCACATCGATACAGGCCGCCAAGGAGTTCACCGAAGCGTCAGCCAGGCTCTACCGGCTGTTCCACGTACTGTACAACGTGGCGTTCCGGTACGTCGAGATGCGGAAGGACTCGCAGCAGTCGGAGCAGGTGCAGGCTAGCCAGGAGATGGACAAGTATCTCACGGCGCTCGGGTTCCCGCCGGCGGGGCTGACTGGCGGTGGCGCCGATCGGCAGCAGACGGGCGAAGTTGGAAACCCGGAGCAGATGGGGTCGCTGGAGGACGGTATGAACCCCGCCGGGCCGGGCCCGCTCAACCAGATGATGTGGATGGGCAACGCGTCACAGCTGGAGGATTGGTTTTACAGTAACCAGCAGATGATGGGTCTTGTGGAAGACGACACGTCGTTTTTGCAGTGAAAATTTGCTGAAGGGTCATGGTGTATCGCGGTGTGCGAGAAGAAAAAAAAGCATCAGGGATGCTAACGCCCAAAGGCGGGGAAGGCAAAATATCATGTATTAGATCAGGGAAGTAGAAGGGTAGATGATGGAGCTCGAGAGCTTTCAATACGAAGAAAGCATCGCCTCTCACCATGACTAAGACGGCCGCTGGAAGACATCATCCGACCACTGCTGTGCGAGACTGAGAAGGTTGACACTAAATCTGCAACAACCCAGCTGAAGAACGTATCTCTGCTTCTCCAACTCAGATGTCGCAGTCCCATTGGCTGTCCTCCTGCCGCATCTTGCTACCGCCCGTCTTCAACGAGGAAAAGCCCGAGCTAGCCGACGCAAGTTTTCCTTTTCTGTGCGCAGCTGCATGCATTACACATGTAACGGAGGTCGTCATCAGGCTGGCTAAATTGGAGTCGAGACGACACCTTGACAAGCACGAGCTACTGTCCAGGCGCTCTGCTGAAGTCAACCTGTAAAGTTTGCTTTTGAGATCTGAGTCCATTTATCAACCCTACGCTAGGTGTGTTCCAGAAATATGAAGAGATTTGGGACAACTGAATTTGGATCACGGGGAGGGAGCACGGAAGATGCGGATACCCACGAATACAGGGGACAGACTGCTGCAGCTTCTCCGCATCACGGCAGCAAACACGGGTCAAGATGAGGCCAGGGATTCTATGTCGCAGCCCGTGCGGCATAATGACCCATGACTCCGTCTCCCGTCGCATTGGCTTGAGACGAATACTCTGGTATGCGTACAGTGTATACTGGCTGATGGCGGTGCTCGAGGGGAGCTTTATCGGGCTTATCGACGGCTTATCAGATGCTTGGATAGCGGGGAAAAGAGCCGTGCTGCCATGTTTTAGCGCCATATTTGGTATCCACGGCCCCACCCCCGCACTGGAGAAGCGGGTGACCGGGTCCAGGGCGCAATCGAGGTAACTTCTTCCCTGCACGGAGGCATGCAGCAGGCCACTTCCTCCAGCAGCTCACACCATCACCCCCTGAAGCTCATACGTACCACACGCGAACAGTCGCACGCGCACACCATCTCCCTCTCTACCTCCAACTGTTCGTCTACGGTTACCCTCGCGGAAGATCCGCACCCGCGTCTTCTTGAATCCGGTTATTTTACCCATGTGGCTGTGAATCAGAGCGAGCAGAGCTTTGAGCGGGGTGGCCACCTTGGCGGCTACCCCAAGCATCAGACTCAAACAGTGATTGGAGGAGCTTGGAGCTCGTCCTGCGACATCTGCGACACACTTGGCCGATTCTGCGCTCCCGCCTGGGGCCTGGGGGGGCAAAATGGAAGCGGGAACGGGAGTGAACAAGGATCCGGATGCGCAGAGAAGCCAGGAGGAGGACTCGGGAGGCCAAAGAGGCGATGAGGGCGGAGGAGGGGCATGGACGAGACGCGGGTGAATAACGTGACACGGTACGAGCCCGTTGTCTGTTTCTTCCTCGGGCGCAAAGTCAATCCCAACCCTAAACTTTTCTTTCTCTTCCTGTTCTTCGTGTCTTCTCTTTTCCCTTTCTACAACACTCTAGCAGCTCCGCATTCGTATAGACACCAATACGTGCCCTGCGCCGTCTGTCCAGTCTGTCGTTCAATCGGCAGTGACGACGACAGATGAGAAGCCGCGCTGCCTGATCGCCTCGTCGCCCCGGCCTCGCTAGCCTGGATGCTCGAAGCCTACTCGCAACGATGGTGAACCTATCCGTCTTGCGGCCAGTTCTGGCCACCAACCTCTGCTCATCCCGCGCTTCCGGGCGGCTCGTCCCTCGCTCGTGGCCGGTCGGTCTAGGTAAGCCAGCTTCCCCCGGCACTAGACAACGAGCGAACTCAATTGCTTCCTGCTCGATGCTGATTACCCCGCATCAGAAGTCGCACCGGCTACTCTGGCTTTTGAAGGCCAGCGCAAGTGGAATTGCACACATGCGCGAGCTCGCCAGACGACGGCCCTTGTTCCGGCCGTCTCGAGGCCTCTTCAGCTCGTTCGCCATGCTTCCGTAGTCTCCGGACCTGTCACCACCGCGCCCTACTCCACGGTTGTGGAGCCCCCGTCTGTCCCGTACGCCAACCTTGCTGTTGGCGTCCCCAAGGAGATCTATCTCAATGAGCGTCGCGTCGCGTTAACACCCCAGAATGTAGCTTTGCTGCTCAAAAAGGGCTTCTCCAAAGTCCTTGTAGAGCAAGGCGCCGGAGCCGCGGCCGACTTCCCTGACGCCGCCTACGAAACCGCCGGCGCAACGCTTGTTGACAGCGCCGAGAAAGTCTGGTCCGGCTCCGATATTGTTCTCAAGGTCCGCGGGCCAATTCCCGCCGAGATCGAGCTCATGAAAGAGAAGCAGACCGTCATCTCCTTTCTGCAGCCTGCGCAAAACAAGCCACTCGTAGAGAAGCTCGCGGCGCAGAAGGCCACCTCTTTTGCCATGGACCAAATTCCCCGGATTTCACGTGCCCAGGTCTTTGACGCTCTTAGCTCCATGGCCAACATTGCTGGATACAAGGCTGTTCTTGAGGCTTCCAACAATTTTGGTCGCTTCTTGACCGGCCAGGTTACCGCCGCCGGCAAGGTTCCTCCTTGCAAAGTACTTGTCATTGGCGCTGGTGTTGCTGGACTGAGCGCAATCGCAACCGCTAGGAGACTCGGCGCGATCGTGCGAGGCTTCGATACACGTCCCGCGGCTCGAGAGCAGGTTCAGTCGCTAGGCGCCGAGTTCATCGAGGTCGACATCAAGGAGGACGGCTCCGGAGCTGGCGGATACGCCAAGGAGATGTCCAAGGAGTTCATCGAAGCCGAGATGAAGCTGTTCACTGAACAAGCCCGCGAGGTCGACATCATCATTACCACTGCCCTGATCCCTGGAAAGCCGGCGCCTAAGCTCATTACGAAGTCAATGCTCGAGATCATGAAGCCCGGCTCGGTCGTCGTCGACTTGGCAGCTGAGGCAGGCGGAAACTGCGAGAAGACCAAGCCTGGAGAGCTCTATGTTTACAAGGACGTCAAGATCATTGGTAAGTTCTACGAAGCCCCTTGGTCTAACAATGGTTGACTGACACTCTTCCAGGTTACACAGACTTGCCTTCGCGACTGCCCACGCAATCATCAACCCTGTACTCCAATAACATAACCAAGTTTCTACTGTCCATAGCTCCAAAGGAGAAGCAGTTCGGAATCGACCTGTCTGATGAGGTTGTCCGAGGAGCGATCGTCACTCAAAATGGAGACATCATCCCACCAGCTCCTCGCAAGGCTCCTCCTCCAGCTCCAGCTCCGCCTCCGACTCCTACCGCTGCCGCCGAAGCTGAAGTCGTCGCTTTGACACCATTTCAGAAGACTTCCCGCGAAGTTGCGACCGTCACCGCTGGTATGGGAACTGCGCTTGCAGTGGGAACGGTGACCGGACCTCTCTTCATGACATTCTCTCTCGCTTCCCTCATCGGATACAGAGTCGTGTGGAACGTTTCGCCCTCGTTACACTCGCCATTAATGTCCGTGACGAATGCGATTTCTGGTAAGTGTTTCTATCACAGCAATGGGCGCGAAGACGGCGATCAGTGTGATGATGATAGCAGATCTGGAATGCTTTGCGGGCCGAGAAGGTGGAGAATGGTCTGTGCGCCCCGGCCCGGGGCGCACAGACCCCTTCGCACGGCACCTGCCCGCAGGTGCCGCCCAGCTTCCCTCAAATCGCAAGAATCAATGGACAGAACTAACAATTGCCAGGAATGGTTGGAATTGGCGGCCTATTCATTCTAGGTGGTGGCTATGTTCCTCAGACGATCCCTCAAGTTCTCGGCGCCCTCTCTGTTCTCCTCGCCTTCGTAAATGTATCTGGCGGTTTCGTCATCACGAAGCGAATGTTGGACATGTTCAAGCGACCGACTGACCCACCGGAATACCCATGGCTTTATGCCATCCCCGCGGCCTTGTGCGGCGGAGGATATATTGCTGCAGCGGCCACTGGGGCTAGTTTTTTAGTTCAGGCTGGGTATGCTGTCAGCTCTGTCCTCTGTATTAGTTCCCTCTCCAGCTTGGCATCTCAGTCCACAGCTCGCATGGGTAACATGCTGGGCATGCTCGGAGTTGGCTCCGGTGTGCTGGCCTCTCTTCTGGCTGTTGGCTTCTCTCCTGAGGTTCTAACTCAGTTTGGTGCTCTGGCGGCTCTTGGAGGTATTGTCGGTCTTCTTATCGGCAAGCGGATCACTCCTACGGACCTTCCTCAGACCGTTGCCGCCCTCCACTCCGTGGTTGGTCTGGCAGCTGTATTGACTTCTATCGGAAGTGTTATGGCGCATATTGACGACATTTCAACGCTCCATATGGTTACTGGCTACTTGGGAGTCCTCATAGGTGGTATTACCTTCACTGGATCCATTGTCGCATTCCTCAAGCTAGCCGGCAGGATGTCTTCAAAGCCGCTCATGCTACCCGGAAGACATGTCTTAAACTCTGGCATGCTCACAGCTAACATTGCTACCATGGGTGCCTTTGTGACGATGGCGCCCGGCTCACCCATGATTGCTGCCGCAGCTCTGTCAGCAAACACCATCCTGTCTTTCATCAAGGGCTATACCACAACAGCTGCGATTGGAGGAGCAGATATGCCTGTCGTCATCACAGTGCTGAACGCGTACTCTGGCTTCGCTCTTGTGGCAGAAGGATTCATGCTAGATAACCCGCTTCTAACTACAGTAGGAGCCCTCATCGGCGTATCTGGTTCCATTCTATCGTACATTATGTGCGTGGCGATGAATCGATCGCTGACAAACGTCTTATTTGGTGGTATATCGGCACCGCAGCAATCGGACTACAAGATAGAGGGGGCGATAACGCAAACAAACGTGGAAGACACGGCTGAAGCTCTCGTCAACGCCGAAAATGTGATCATAGTAGTGGGCTACGGTATGGCTGTGGCCAAGGCGCAGTACGCCATCAGCGAAATCACGAGCATGCTGCGAGCAAAGAACATCAACGTCCGCTTCGCCATTCACCCGGTGGCTGGTCGCATGCCCGGTCAGTGCAACGTCCTGCTCGCAGAGGCGAGCGTGCCCTACGACATCGTCTTGGAGATGGACGAGATCAATGATGACTTCAACGACACTGACGTAACGCTGGTTATTGGTGCCAACGATACCGTCAACCCCATCGCCTTGGAGCCTGGTAGCCCCATTGCCGGTATGCCCGTGCTGCAAGCGTGGAAGAGCAAGCAAGTCATCGTAATGAAACGAGGCATGGCTAGCGGATACGGTAAGCTCATTGATGTGAAGCCCTGCCCTTGAAGAAGCAAATTCTGACATGATATAGCCGATGTACCCAATCCAATGTTCTACATGCCTGGAACACGCATGTTGTTTGGAGATGCTAAAGTTACTTGCGACGGTATGTCATTCCGTTCGCTTCGGAGCATCAATACTGACCGTTATTTTCACAGCAATCAAAGCAGCTGTCGAGGCCCGAGCATAGAATCTTAGAGAGATCTCCTTTGCGCACGTCGATCCTCGGTGGTATACCTGAGTTTGGGGAGCATCTTTCTTAGAGGCATTGCATCTACAAGGAGCTCTCTCATGTTTTTCTTTGTGTGTTTGATCTAGTTGATTTGCTGTACATACCGACGAGGGACGGCAGTGTTGAAATCTATGCAGTATATTCCTTTTTGGTGACGAAGCAAAATGCAGCCAGCCGGCTTGCTGTTTACCTTGGTCCCCGGCTTCGATACTTTTCGAACAAAAGCCAAGCCAGGATCTCTGTCCCTGCAGTAGCAGAAGTGAGGCACATCCCGTGAATGTTTATGTCCATTTCATTGGTAGCGATGGCCTCGGGCCGACCAGATTAAGCTGCATCCAAGTCCGTGCTTGGTATGCCTAGTCAGGTAAGAGGTCGTCCGCAGGTCTGCATTTCCCCATAACGGACCCAGTGTCGTTCGACTTGCTGTATGTTTCCTTGATTTGTCAACACCAAATGATCTTTGTCAGTCTACCTTTCAACAATTGTTCATTGGGGCGCTCGACATACATCGTCGCAATCGCCATTGCCCTGGGCCTGAAACTTTTTTCTACTTGACGCCCTCATCCTGGTCTGGCTTAAAGAACAGTAATGATCAAAACCATGCAATTTTTGCAAATATGTGACTTGGAAATTCCTCAAGAAACTCTCGGGCGAATAAAAAATCGGTGGTCTTCAACCGGCCACAACGCTTAAACGCCAAGCAAAGCTTCTCTATTGCTTGGCAGTTAATGTTTGCTGACCATATCGGAGCTCATCCAGTCCAGTCTTGGCACTGAAGAACGCGCACGTCCGTGCAGTTCCCAAGTCACTGGCTTGAGCCCGGAATAATCCAGGTACGTACAGTTAGAATCTTCGTCATGGATCACCTTGAATCCTTCAAATGGTCTTTCAAGATTACGATTTCCGTCCAAAAGTCTCTTATATGGTGGTGAGTGACCCCCGCAACGGACCCTGGTCCTCGACTTACACGGTGATCAGCCAATCAGAAGCGTCAATTCGCCCACGAGGTCAAGCTCAACGGCCATGGTTAGACCCTCCCGGAGCAACCGCTCACGACTCCCACGCTGTGCCATCTTGGATCACTTTATCGATTCCCCACGAACCGATGAAAAGCAACCGTATCGGCGAATCACGACATACACCGGGCACACCAGAAGCTTTAAAGGCACAATGCCCGTCCTTGACCTGCAGTGCCAAGCCTACGCCACATGACGCCGTTCATCTCTTCTTCCTCTGCAACCCCAGGCGTCCAGGCTTCATCCCCCAATTCGAAGACCGACGACACAGCTTCCTCTTGCTGTCCCTGGCATCATCTCCGCCCGCTACGCTTGACAAGAGGCTTGGCAATAACAAACCGAGATGCCGACCGCTCAGCTCGGCGCAACACGTGCCTCTTCTGCCCAAGATGAGCCGTGAAGTTGCATCCTGCTTCGTTCGACCCAAGACACCGTCACCGTACGCCGTCATGATATCGGCCCATCCGCCTGCCTGACGGCCAATCGCGTGGTGATGTTGTGGCCCGGGTGACGGAATCCTACCTAACGCGTTGGTCGAAAGTTCCTCAGCTAGGATTGCAACGCGGCGCAATCTGCAGCTTCTCATCCCGGCTCTCACGGTGCTTGGCCCGCGAATGCGAGGATCCGCGAACCAACAGAAGTATGCTGTCATGCATTGGGAACATGGCTCTGGGACTGGACGGACAACAGCTTCGGCGGGGGTGATCCCTCCCAGAAATCAATTGACATGGGATGACTTTTTTCTTTTGCGATGGCTGCAGGAGGGTATATAAGCTCTCGAGCTGCAGCAAGCTTTCCCCGAGCTTGGATCTTCTGTTCACGCTTCCCGTCTCTGTCCCGACTCCCATTGACAGACAACTCTTCGTCGGATCAACATGATGGCAAAGCTCAGCCCCCTCGCAGTCCTGGCTGCCTCGCTGTCCCTCGTGTCGGCGCAGACCTACCAGCGACTCGGCACCTGCCCTGATCTCGGCTGCGTCCTCCCGCCCGACCAGTCCGATTTCCTGCCCGGCCAGCTCTTTGACCTCCGTGTCGAGGTCCATGCGCCCGTCAACGGCTCCGAGGCCTTCAACAACGGTGTCCCCGACGAGGCCTTCTCCGTCAGCATCGCCAAGGAGGGCGGCGCGGCCAAGGGCCTGACCGAGTTCTTCGGCCTCGACGAGCCTGAGCTCGAGAAGTGGTCTTTCGGTTGGTACGAGGACCTCTTCGCCGAGGACGCGAAGCAGAAGAGCGTGGTCAACGTGGCGTCCAAGATCTGGCGCCACATCGCCTTGTACGAGCCCGGCAATTATGTGGTTACCCTCAAGTACTACGATGGCAAGACGACCACCGCCAACTGGGTTGTGCGACCTCTGGCGACTGAGAAGAAGGCCAAGAACGTCATTTTCTTCATCGGTAAGTAGATTGATTGCAAATGGCTTCGTCTCAAACTAACAATAGCTTAATAGGTGATGGTATGACTACCAACATGGTCACTGCCGCCCGTCTTCTCGGCCACAAGAGCATCAACGGAAAGTACCAGTCCAGCCTGGCTCTCGACAAGTTTCCCGTCATCGGTCACCAGATGACGCACTCCATCGACAGCTACATCACCGACTCTGCCAACTCCGCGTCTGCTCTGTACTCTGGCCACAAGAGCACTGTCAACGCCATGGGCGTTTACGCTGACTCTTCCCCGGACGCTTTCGACGACCCCAAGGTTGAGACCATTGTCGAGCTCATCCACCGAATCTGGGGGTCTGCATGGGGTGCTGTTTCCACCGCCTTCATCGCCGACGCCACCCCGATTGCCTTGACTGCCCACACTCGGTCCCGCAGCTTGTACGGTCCTCTTATCGACCAGGCGCTCAACGGCATCACGAACTACACCTGGACCAAGATGGAGGGTCCCGACGTCTACTTTGGAGGCGGTGCTGAGCAGTTCTACGCCGGCAAGGGCTCCTACGAGGGCAAGGATTACTACGAGGAGTTCGCCAAGAAGGGCTACACTGTCGCTCTCAACAAGACTTCCCTCGAGGCCGCCGACTCCAAGCAGAAGACTCTCGGTATCTTCACCCAGTCCAACCTTCCCGTCTGGCTCGACCGCAACGTTCTCACCGAGAACCTGGCCAAGCTTACGAACGACCCTACCGGTAACAAGAGTGCTGCTCTCGATATTCCTGGCCTGAAGGAGATGACCCTCAAGGCCGTTGATATCCTCCACAACCGCGGTGGAGAGGATGGTTTCTTCCTCATGTCTGAGGCCGCTTCCATCGATAAGCAGATGCACTCTCTTGACTACGACCGTGCCCTCGGTGACCTTCTTGAGCTTGACGACACTGTCAAGGCCACCATCGAGAAGCTCGAGGAGCTCGGCATCCTCGAGGAGACCCTGGTCGTTGTGTCTTCCGACCACGGCCACGGCTTTGAGTAAGTTAAACTCTGCCACTCTGGAAAAACCAACACTAACAGAAGACAGCGTTTTCGGAAGCGCCGACACCAAGTATCTCGCCGAGCAGCAGGACGACCGCACCAAGCGCAAGGCCGTCGGCACCTACGCCCAGTCCGGTCTCTCGCAGTACACCGTCGAGCAGCCCGGCATCAGCTACAACACCGGCCCCAACTTCCCCCTCAACTGGAACCCCCGCTACGCCATCGCCGCCGGCGTCGGCGCCAGCCCCGACCGCCGCGAGGACTTCGCCCTGCACGAGTCCGCCCGCACCCCTGCCGTCGCCGCCACCAACACCTCCGACTATTACGTCAACCCCAAGGACGCCGCCGACGGCTTCGTCGTCAACGGCACCATCCCCACCAACGAGGCCCAGGGCGTCCATTCGCTCACCGACGTCGCCGTCTGGGCCCGCGGCCCCTGCCAGGAGACCTTTGGCGGTACCTACAACAACATCGACATCTTCTACAAGATGGCCAACTGCCTGGGTCTGGCTCAGCCGCGCAACGCTACTGGCTGCGGCGGTGTTCGTCGCAGGAGAGCGGTCAACCTCCACGCCTGAGTGGGGTCTGCTGTAGGTTCTCATACCTGTTTGTAGATGTAGCGAGATGTAAAAGCATGGGTGGCGTTGAGAGGTCGTGTTTGGAGCGAAAAGTAGTAGACTATTTACGAAGTACAAATTCTTGAATATAATGAATACACTTAATATCAAAGACGTTACAGCCTATTGCAAGTGAATTTGACGACGTCTCCATCGTGGTGTGAGACTGTCGTCATCTAAACAAGCTCTGGGTATCTTCATGTTCTTTGAGGGCCCACCGGTGTCACTTTGACAGATAACGAGCGGATATGAGATGGGATGAACAGATGCTCAGTTCTGTGGATGCCGAAAAGAGACAGTGGGCTTCATTCCCGTTTTTGCCCCATTAGTGACACTTTCATACGTCAAAATATGACTGATGAGAGTGTGTTTGTTTTGGAAGTCTAGGTTCAGACCCAGCTCTTTACCTCAATTCCCGAACCCCACGCAAACCCCTTTCTTGGGGGGCAGATGCGTAGAATCAGGGGAACCAATATATTTGATTGTGTTTGAAACGTCTTCACTTGAGAATATAGCTCCGCTGGGAACCGCGTCTTAGTCCCCTGGGAGGGGCAGTGGAGGGGACACATTCAAGCCAGGGTAAGGGGAGTTCGTCCCTGGCAGTCGTTGAGTCCCTTCATCCGGGCATTATCCTGGTTTAGGGGTCCCAGCATCTTATAAAGTATCAACAATCTGTCCGATAGATTGATCGTTGCTGTCAACTGACAGATCTTTATTAAATATCAGACGCCGTTAGCGGCAAAGGGGCGGCGGGGCTGGACTAAGTTGGTGGTATTACTTTGGACGGTTTGCATCGAAGCAGAGACGCTCTCCGTCAAGGAAGCCTCAGGAGGTTCGAGAGTAAGATATGTATTGAATCTTCAAGCATTGCAATCTTTGAGTCAGTTGTAGTGTTCATAATGACGTTGTGCTA